CGAGGCTGCTCTCCCAAGTCAGTCAACAGGTAGGTGAGCCAGCGTAAATCCTGTGCAGCCATGGCTGTGGCGTAGATCTCAGCCTCACAACTGGAGCTGAGAACTGAAGACGAGCGTGTAGAACGCCACGAAACTGAACCAGAGCCAAGGCTGAAGGTGTAACCCTGTGACGACCGCTGAGTAGCCTGGTCGTCAACCCAAGAAGCGTCTGAGTGTCCAGTGAGGACAACTGGGCTCGTCCCTCCAAGCACTAGCCCCATGCCTGATGTGCTGCACAAGTAGCGCAGTACCCTCTTAGCAGCAGCCATGTGCTCAGGTCGGTGCCGACCAGGAGCCACGTAGCGAGCCAGAAGACCAAGAGGGTACGCGAGGTCAGGTCGAGTGCAAGTCATCAGGTACATGAGGTAGCCCACTAGCTCTGGGTAAGAACCACTCGGCTCTACGGACTCGTCCGAAGGTGGAGCTGAGAGCGTGTGACCTGTAGCCAGAGGAGTGGCCTGTGCTGAAGACCAGGTGAAGCCGAAGCGCTGAAGGATCTGCTGCACCATGTGTGACTGAGTCAAGGTGATGGTGCGGCGTGCTCTGTCCCGGGTGATCTGCAAGCCAAGGTAGCTGCGCAGCTCACCCAAGTCTGTGCACGTGTGTCTCTTCTGCAGCTCCGACTTCACGTGGGCGAGAGCCTCTGTGTCAGCAGTGGCAAAGACCAAGTCGTCGACGTACACGAGGATGTAGAACGGCGGCAGTGAAGTGTCGGTGTGCAGAAACAGTGACGGGTCAGCAGTAGAAGGCGCGAACCCAAGAGCCGCAAGCGTAGTCCTCAGTGTGTCGTGCCACTCACGTGGCGCCTAGCGGAGACCGTAGACCGGCCGCCGGAGGCTCCACTGGGTACCAGGAGGGAACGACACAGTGAAGCCCGGGGGGCGGCGCAGCCAGATCTCCTCGTGCAGGCTGCCCTGCAAGAAAGCTGTGCTGAAGTCAAGAGAGTGAAGCTCGTAGTCACGGTGAGCAGCAACGTGCAGCAGCACCCGAAGAGTGGTCATCTTCGGGGTGGGGGAGAAGGTCTGGAAGAAGTCAACTCCCTCTCGCTGACTGAAGCCTCGAGCAACGTAACGAGCCTTGAAGACAGGCGGAGAACCTGGCGGCCGCTTCACCCTGAAAATCTACATGCCACTGACGATGTTCGCCCCATGAGGGGGAACCTCGTCGACGTAAGTGCCAGTGGACTTCCAGGATGCCATCTTTGCGTCCATGGCTGTCTGCCACTGAGAGGAGTACTCACCCGCAATCGCCTCAGCGTAAGAGCGCGGGTTCGGGATGTCTGGTGCATCCGGGTCTCCCTCAGGGGCAAGCAGCATGGCCACGAGATGAGGTGCAGCGGCTGCAAGACATTCAGAGTCCTCTTGCCTGTCCTCAAGGACGTCCGTGCCAAGAGCACACTCATCCCCGACGGACGGAGGACAGACAGACTCAGACTCAGCAACAAGACTAGTAGCGTAGTCTACACAACAAGCAGCAGCAAAGTCAACAAGCTCAGAGACTAAGGCAGACGCAGCAGCAGACTCAAACGACGGGTCAGTGACAACAGTGGCGAGGAGACGCGTGACAGTAGGGTGAGCAGCACGAACCAGGTCAGACTCAGGGTCCGGAACGTCAGGCAGAGAAGACGCAGGAGGAGACGGCAGGGGAACACGCTGTGGAACAGAGGAAGGACGAAGTGCCATAGCGTGCGTGCCAGGGATAGGACGCGGACGCTCACGAGGAACACGACGACCAGTACGCCGCGCGCGAACAGGCGATGCAGGACGAGGCGCAGGCTCACGTCACTCTGTAAGCGAGTCTGTCTACTCAGTGTAAGGAGAAGGAGCAGGCAGTGGTGAGTCTGGCCGTAACGGGAGGCCAGTAGAAGACGGGAGGCTAAGAACCTGGTGAAGCACGGAGTCAGGTGGTGGCAGAGACGACGGTGACGGCGGAGCGAAGAACAGTCGCGGCTGTGCAGTGTCACCCGCACCAGTTGCGCCAGCGCCTCCAGCAGCTCCAGACTCGCCAGCTCCAGCGCCTCCAGCAGCTCCAGAACCGCCAGCTCCAGCGCCTCCAGCAGCTCTAGAACCTCCAGCTCCAGCGCCTCCAGCAGCTATAGAACCTCTAGCTCCAGCGCCTCCAGCAGCTCCAGAACCTCCAGCTCCAGTGCCTCCAGCAGCTCCAGAACCTCCAGCTCCAGCGCCTCCAGCTCCAGCGCCAGAACCTCCAGCTCTAGGGTCTCCTGCATCAGTACCTTTAGTCGCAGCACCCCCAGAACCGGCACCTCCAGCTCCAGGCTTTCCAGCTTCAGTACCTCCAGCTGCAGCACCCCCAGAACCGGCACCTCCAGCTCCAGGGTCTCCAGCCTCAGTACCTCCAGCAGCAGCACCTCCAGAACCGGCACCTCCAGCTCCAGGGTCTCCAGCCCCAGTACCTCCAGGCGCAGCACCCCCAGAACTGGTACCTCCAGCGCCAGAGTTTAAAGCACTAGTACCTCCAGCAGCGAGACTCCGACGGCGGTAGCGCTGAGCGTACCACTCGCGCAGCTGCTGTCGCGAGGGAGGTGGCCGCTGCGACGCGGCACCATGAGGACCGCCAGGAGATTCAGCACCCAGAACTAGCACCTCCAGCTCCAGCAGTACCGCCAGTCCTGGCAGCTCCAGTACCCCCGGTACGAGCACGTCCAGAACCAGAAACACCAGTGCTCCCAGCGTCTCCACGACCACTAGCTCCAGCGGTTCCAGCAGCAGAAAGAGGGAGACCCGAAGGAACGCCAGCAGACTCAGCACCCCCGGACCCGGTACCCTCTGGCTCAGCACCCTCAGGCTCCGCACTCGTAGGCTCAGCACCCCCAGGCTCCGCACCCCCAGGCTCCGCACCCCCAGCACCTCACGCACAGGCTCAGCACCCCCAGACGCAGCACCCCGAGCAACACCGCCCCCGGCAGCACCTGAGTCAACCAGAATCGGCTGCAGAGGCGGTGAAGATGGTCGCGGCGGGAAACCCGGAGGGGTCTCCAAGCGTGGTGCGCGGCGGTAGGCCGTCAGGTCGTCAGCAGCAATGTCACCCCCCTCAGCTGGGCCAAAGGTGTCGGAAGTGACCTCTAAAGGCCCAGCCAAGGGGAGTGGGTCTACCTGAGACACACCTGAAGGAGCAGGACCCTGAGGGGGGAGGGGGTCTACCGGAGGGGGACCTGGAGCGAGGAAAAGCGGCGGGGGAGGGAGAGGGGCAGTGCGGTAGGGAAAGAGACGGTAGAAAGGAACCGACTCGTCAAAGGTGACGTCCTGAGAGGGGAAGACACGGCGCGAGGTGGGGTGGTAAAACTGCCAGCCAGGCACGTCAGGGACAAAGCCAAGGAAGACACAGGGAATGGTTTGGGAGGAGAGCTTGTCCGCGGACGTATCGCGGACAAGGGCACGAGCACCCCAGACCCGGAAACGCGACGCATCGCCAACCTCTCCCGTCCAACGCAGTGTGGGCGAGGTGCACGGCAAGGAGACACATGGCCAGAGGTTGAGCTGATGCGCGGCGTACCGGACCACAAACGGCCAACGAAAATGGGGAGCCGCCGCATGGATCAAGGAGGTACGAGCGATCTCCATGACCAAGCCAATGCGGCACTCAGAAACAACATTTTGCTGCGGTGAGCCCGGAAGCGTGAACGACCGCTTGATGCCCTCCCCCTGACAAAAGGCCCGCAGGAGGTTGGACGAGAACTCACCACCTCTGTCAGAGTGCAGACGCAGGACAGGAAGGTCCGAGTGGAACCTGCGGCGGAGCTGGAGATGAACTGCTCGGATCCAAGGGATCAGGACAGCAGGGACCTCACCCTTGGTGCGCAAGGGGAAGACCGTAGTGTAACGCGTGTAGTCGTCGACAACCAGCAGAAAGTACCCCTTACCACCCTATCCACACGTCCAGGTGGAGGGTCTTCAAGGGAGCCTCTGTCGAAGGAAACGAGGAGGAGTGAGGAGCGGCGTGCTGCCGCCCCTCGACGCAAGGAAGGCAGGGCGGCGCAGGCGAGGCAGGGAGGGGAGGGAGAGACCTGGGAAGACCAGATACTAGGCGACGGTGCATGCCACGGAGACGTGGCAAGGAGGGGTGACCCAGGCGGTGGTGCCAGAGAAGAGTCTGGTGCGACAGGGAGCGACACTCACAAGGGGAGGCTACCAAACCTGACGCAGGCACCTGGCCGACAGTAGTGACCTGAGGAGACACAGTCGTCAGTGTGTAAAGACTCGACCCTGGCCGACGAGTGAACGTGGCCAGGTGACGGCCAGTCCTGGAGCACGTACAGATCGCCACACGCTGTCCTCCAGGGGTAAAGGTATCAACCCAATGATCCTGTATGACGACGTTGCTCACCAAGTTCGTTGAGAACGAGGGGAGGTGGAGACATTACAGTGAGCCAGACGGGACCACCAAGCACGGAAGCATAGTGGTGGATCGTGCAAGAACTGGGCCCCCGAAGGGGTTAGCCAGAGAGACTGCAACAGATGCAGGGAGTGGTGTGAGTGCGGTACTGTCACGGAAGAAACAGCGGGAAGCACCTGAGTCAAGCGTGAAGGTGTGCAAGGCCTCAGCAGGCGCAGTACTAGAGAGAGCAGACTCGCTCGCACCTAAGGCAGCAGCCTCTATACCTGAGTGAGCAGACTCGCTCACACCTAAGACAGCAGTCTCTATACCTGGGTCAGGCGGCACACACAGGTAACAGTCACCCTCAGCACTACGTTCCAATGCATACATGGCGGAAATGATAGCATCAAAGTCAAGAGCAAAACGTCTACACCAGCCTTCCACAATTCATGCCAGCGAGGGAGCTCATACTCCTCGCCCATTTCCTCATGTCAGGCATCGTCAAGGCGGGAGAGGCAGCGGTGCTGGGTGTGGAACTTGTTGCACGTCTGACCCTTACGCCACCTGTGCGAATGACATAAGGGCAGCGACCACCACCCCCAGACTTCCCACGCTGAGCAAGCCACTCACGAAGTCTGGGGACGCTGCTGCTGCTGCTGCTGCTGCTGCTGTCGCTGGCCAGTGCCAGTGCCTCCACCCCGACCGACACCGCCGCCGCCACCACCGCCCCGACCGCCACCGCCGCCGCCACCACCGCCCCGACCGCCTCCGCCGCCACCGCCTCCACCGACGCTACCACTCACGCCTGCACTCCCGCCACCAGCCCCCCAGCCAACTCCTCCTCCTCCACCGCCTTCACCACCACCCCCTCCAGTGCCACCTCCGCTACCCTTGGCTCCCTTGCCATTGCTGTTGCGCTGCCTCCCACTAGGAGCAGAAGCAGCACCAGCAGACTCAGCACCAAGGAAGTCAACAGCAGCAGCAGTAGCGAAGGAGGGGGCGAGGGGAGAGAGAGAGAGCACCCCTCAAAGATAGGAGTGCGAGGAGTGCCACGAGCAGCACCTACAGCGACAATGCTCTTCTCTGTTGCAAGGAGGCGCTCCTCTAGGAGGTCGACGGTGAGCTCGGTGGGACAGCGAGCAAGAAAGTGGTCCTTAACTGAGCTGAGAGAGTCAGGGAGACGTGTGACTATGAAGTGGAGGGTCCAATACATCAGAGGCGGGTTCTTAGCTGCGAACTCTTTGGGGAGGGCGGCGTGAAGGTGAGTGTCACTAGTGCGGAGGTGGGTAATGAGATCAGCAACAGTGTCAAAGGAGGACAGCTCAGGAAACAGGTAGGGCAGCATAAGGCGGCTAAGTGCAGCAGTGGCAGGGGAGGTGTAGCGAGCAACTACAGCGCCGTACAGGGCCTTAGCGGTTTTGTGTTTGCCAAAATGCGTAAGCTCGCCAACGGCAGATGGTTGCGAACAGCTAGGCGAGCAGCGGCATTACGAGTCTGCCATTGGGAACGGGCGCTAAGCTCAGCTGTGGCAGCAGGAGCGACTGAGGCACCAGACGTGTGGTCGAAAAGTGAAACATCGTCCTTGCTATCGCTCATTAAGAACAGCTGCAAGTCATCTAGCCAGGCTTCGAACTGAATTGGGCGGCCCTCAGCGTCGAACGACAGAACACGGAGGGTGGCCATAGCTGCTGGCGCGGGACTGGCAGGGCAGAGCAATAGCACGCAAGCAGCAGTAGCAGGGGCGGCGCGCTAGGCTGAGGCAGGCGGCCGCAGGAGGTAGCAAGGCAGGCGGCACGCAGGGCTGCAGGGCGGGTCCCGCTCAAGGAGGTGCACGGCAGCGGGACGGGCAGCCCGAGGGCGCAGCAGGCAGCCCGAGGGCGCAGCAGGCAGCCGCGGCAGCAGGTCGAGCGGCGCACGGTGCTGCGAGGCGGCGCAACGGGCAGCGCGAGGGCGCAGCAGTCAGCTGCGGCAGCAGGGCGAGGGGTGCACGGGGCTGCGGGGCGGCGCAACGGGCGGTGCGCAAGCGCAGCAGGCAGCCGCGGCAGCAGGGAGGGCGGCGCACGGGGCTGCGGGGTGGCGCAACGGGTGGTGAGCGGGCGTAGCAGGCCGCCGCGACAGCAGGGTGGGCGGCTCGCGGGCGTAGCAGGCAGCCGCGGCAGCAGAGCGGGCAGCGCTTGGGGCTACGGGGCGACGTAACGGGTGGCGCGCGGGCGCAGCAGGCAGCCGCGGCATCAGGGCGGGCGGCGTAGCAGGCAGCGCGGCAGCGCGCAGGCTGCTAGCAGGCGGCGTGCGTGCTGGCAGAAGCCGCGCTCGGGCTGCGCATGCAGTTGGCGGGTCGCGCGGGCTACTAGCGGGCTGCGCGCGGGCCAGCACAGGCGACGCGCGGGTCGCGCGAGCTGCTAGCAGCGCGGCGCAGGGAAAAGCTGGGCGTGCGCAGGGCTGCGTGACGCAGGGCAGGCAGGCAGGGCGCGGGGTAACGCGGTAACCGGAGGAAGCGGTTGGTGGGCCCTGAAAAACGGTCCTAAGGACCTATTTGCTCTGATACCATGTCGAGAGTAGTAGCAAGGAATGGTTTTGAGTGTCAAGAGAGTTGGGTACGAGGATGAGAACCCTAAGGGGTTGTACCCTACATTGGCTACCCCACTACAGCCTACACCTAATTATAATCCATATATAGTTTGACAGAAAATCCTGCGCACAACACAAACAACCAAGCAGAATACCGTAACAAGTGCATGCCCACCAAACTCATGAGCATAACATACGGTACGCATGGCTGGAAGAAAGCAACTTTAGACAAGGGTAGATAGGCATGTTCCTATGGTGAGCTACTAGCGACTCTCACCCAATGGCTCTCATGCCCTGCAATCCCTCTTAGGTTTAGCATACTCCAGGCCAACCAACAACCCTCGCCACCAGTGCGAGGAGCCATATATAGGCGGCCTTGCCTCGTCCTTGCGATCTCGTTGCATCGCACATATTACGGCCTCCCCGCAACCTCGACGCTGCCATGCCACTCCGCTGCATTCTCAGCGTGTCTAGGGTAGAGGTCTCGCATCACCGTCGTCTATGTGGCCTCCTCGCCATGACACCATTACGCGGGAGCCTCCCATTGGACCCTTATCATATGGCATCGTACTTGTTGGGTGCCAATTCGTGGCACAGTTCATGTTGTTTCAACAAGGTCCAAGGTTCCGCAATCTCAAACATGCTGCATTGGGTTCTCAATTTCAACGGTGTTTTTATTGAATCAAACACAAGGCAGTAACGGCAGCAGAAGGACAGGTTTGTCTGCATGCACCTACCTAATAACAAGCCCAACATAGCACCCCACACGTAGCATTCTCGTCATCGTACTCTCCTCATCCCTTCCTCAGTCATTTTTCTCCCTCTTTGTCCATTCTCCTCGTCCCCCATTTAATGCTTCTAATGCCTCCTCCTCTTCTGCTCATCCCGCATCCTCTGTTCCTCACTCTTCCTATGCTCCTCATCCTGTTTCTTATGCTCCTCATCCCTCCTCTTCTGCTCCGCATCCCTCCTCTTGTCCTCCTCCCTCCTTTTTTTCTCGTCATCCTTCTGCTTTCTCTCCCTTTCCTTCCTCATATCATCCTCCTCCTTCCTCCTCTTATCATCCTCCCTCTTCCTCCTATTCTCCTCATCCTTCCTCTTCTGCTGCTCATCCCTCATCCTCTGCTCCTCTCTCTTCCTATGCTCCTCATCCTGTTTCTTATGCTCCTCATCCCTCCTCTTCTGCTCCTCATCCCTCCTCTTCTGCTCCTCATCCCTCCTCTTCTGCTCCTCATCCCTCCTCCTCTGCGCCTCATCCAGGCTCCTCCGCGTAGCCTCCGCCGTTTCCACGTCAGCATCCGCGTCTCCCTGCAGCGGGGAGAGCAGGTCGTTTGCCGCCAGAGCGCCAGCAGCCCTCGCATGGGCCGAGTCCGCTTCGTCATTCATGAGAGAGCGGATCGCTCTCACATCCGCGCTCTTGCGCACGTCTCCCGACAGCGCCTTGCGTGTGCCCAGGCCGGGCATTGCAGCGAGACCGGGGTTCATGACGTCAGCCGTCACGGCGGGCAGGTGCACGGCGACGAGTAGCGTACAGAGGAGCACCAGGAAAGCGCGAAGCACGGCCATTGCTGTTCACGATTGATCAATTTTCTAGAGTGGTATTTCCCGTGGTGGCTGGTACTGATGGGGATGAGCGGAAGCGTGTGGAGCTAAATACTGCTGCAAGCTCACGTGGTGAGGCCATGGCTCTTGGCTACTAGCGCGCTAGTGCGATTGTTCAACGTGTGTAAGGAGCTTCGAAGCGCGCTATTATTGGAGCAACGAGTCGCCGCTAGTGACGCGGGATTATTGCGAACACTCTCCACTCATGCCATGAGTGATTTCAACACTTACTGGTTACTCTCGTGTGCGAATCTGTTTTCTCGCAGGAATGTCGTTGGTGTGCGCAGGAACGGAAGCGTGTGGAGCTAAACACTGCTGCAAGCTAACGTGGTGAGGCCATGGCTCGGGGGTCACTGGTGCGATTATTTATGGTGTGTAAGGACATTCGAAGCGCGCTATTATTGCAACAACGAGTCGCCGTGAAGGACGCTCGAATGCGAACTTTCCCCAACCTACTGGTTACTCTCGAGTGCGACTCTGTTTCCCCTCAGGGATGTCCTCGCCTATACTCGTGGGGAGCAGTAGCGATGAGTTCGCGATGAAGAGTTTAGCGAAAACCACTGGAAAACTCCTGCAGGTTACCCTCGCGAAGCGCATTGGTCTGCCAATAATTACAAATCAAAATTATCAGCAAGAAGGAGGTTAGCAATTTCTAAAGCTAGGCTACACTTCCCTGCTTGTTTGTACATATTGTGCGTATCGTGTAATGATGTAAAAGATATTGTAAAAGAGCACACAAAAATCAGATCACCACTTCAACCCACACACAAATATGCACAACTTCATTATAATGGGACTTGCATCTCATATAGGTGGGCATGTTACTTAATGACCAATATTGGCATGTCGCCAACTATCTTTTGTTATAAACTAGAGACAGGAATGAATGAACTAGCAGCATGATGGGTACAAGTAGGAAACCCTAATTTGGGTTGTACCCCATATGGGCTACCCCACTACAGCCTACACAATAAGCAGCATATATGTTTGACACACCCCCATAGGCAAAGTGGGGGAGAACAATGAGTCACACGACCGGTCAAGAGAAACAAAGCAAGCTCAGGGTGGATCACAACGTCACCACACACTCTAAGCACAAGCAAAGGGCCACAAGGCCAGTTTACATGCATATGTATATATATAGATATTACAGTACATGCAAGTCTACAGCAAGTGCGAAAACGTAGGCACAAGACCTAACAAAGTACAGAAGCGCTGATGATCACCAGACGGAAGAGCCTTGGTGAAGATATCAGCAGTGTTGGCCCGAGTGGCCACGTGACGAAGACGAAGCTGACCTCGCTGCTGCAACTCTCGAGCCAGGAAGTAACGCAGAGCGATGTGCTTCGTTCTGTGCTCCAGTCTGTGCTCCTCACACAAGGCAATGGCTGCCTTGTTGTCGACGTACAGAACTGGAGGAGAACGAGGCCGCTCACCCAAGTCAGTCAGCAGGTAGGTGAGCCAGCGTAGCTCCTGTGCAGCCATGGCGGTGGCGTAGATCTCAGCCTCACAACTGGAGCTGAGAACAGAAGACGAGCGTGTAGACCGCCAAGAAACAGAGCCAGAGCCAAGGCTGAAGGTGTAACCCTGTGACGACCGCTGTGTAGTCTGGTCTGTCAGAATCTAGCAGCAGGAATGGATGAACTAACAGGATGCAGGAGTACAAGTAGGAAACCCTAATTGGGTTGTACCCCATATGGGCTACCCCACTACAGCCTAGACAATATGCAGCACATATAGTTTGACACACCCCCATAGGCAAAGTGGGGAGAACAAGGGGTCACATGACCAGTCAAGAGAAGCAAAACAAGCTCAGGGTGGATCACAACGTCACCACGCATTCCGAGCACAAGCAAAAGGCCACAGGGCCAGTTCACATGCAGAGATATATATGCAGCAATAACAGTACAGTGATGGCTACCTAGCAAGAGCCAGCATGCAGGTATATATATAGATCACAGTACAAGCAGAGACTACAGCAAGTGTGGAAACGTAGGCACAAGGCCCAACAGAGTACAAAAGCGCTGATGATCACCAGACGGA